CACTCCGATAACGTGTCCGCCGCCAGCAACGACGATAAATCCCCCATCCCCTGGCTCCACCAGTTGCGGCAGCGGCGGCTCGACGAACTTCGACGCGAACTGCAACGTTACGACCGCTCCATCGTGTAAAAATCTCAACCCGACGCGACGGTGTTTTGATTTTTTTTAATTATCGGATCAAAATTAATTATTTTAATTTTTTGTGATTAAAATGAATCGTCTAGGTGTTTGCAATCGAAGGTGGACAGGTTGAAAGAAGTGCGCGAACATAGTCTGAGGGAGACCCAAAAACCGGTAGAAAAATCGGATCTAGAGAAAACCGGAGACGAAGAGATTAAACCGGATGATGTCTCGCCGGAGAAAAAAGAAATCTCCAGCGATTTCTTGGTGCACGACGGCCAGTCGTTTGACGAGTCGAACACGACAGATCGGAAACCCGAGGAACCCGGCACCGGATATGCCGGTACGGGTAATGGTTCGGAGCCGAATAAATCGGTTGAACCAGCCGGTGAGGAGATCGGGTCGGCCGAGAAGTCGAGTAATCCGGCGGTGGAGGATTCGTGCAACGGAAGTTCCGATTCGGTGGCGAAAGAACCGGCGGGTCAAAGGGAATCGATGGCCGAGTCAAAGGGAGTCGCAGAAGGGACGAAGGAGAGTCGTCAAAGTAGCAGTGAAGTGAAGAGCTCGGTGAGATTGTCGAGAAAAGCAGGGAATGATCCGGAACCGGTCGGACCGGGAGAGCCAAGTGAACCGGAGCAGGAGGATGAATCTCCCGCCACGAAGAGGGTCCCAGTTGAATCTCAGCCGTTGGTGGATTTCCTCGAGATCCTTCGCTCTCATAAGTTTGCCTCCTTATTCGGGCGCCGGCTCCATTCCCAGGTTTGCTTATTTTTCCTCTAAAAATAAAAAATAAAAAATATTTTATCACCTTAATTTTAGATTACATAACAAATTCGTACTTTATTATCTTAACATTATATCCTCATACATCAGTTTTCGTTTCATTCCAAGGTCAGATTTTTAATTATTTTTTTATTGATTTAACTATTTAATGATAACGTGGTAGGCGCATAGCTCATTCTTCCTTTTAAATTTTAAAAAATATAAAAAAAGACAAACACATTTTACAACCTTAATTTTTAATTACATAACAAATTCACAACTCATTTCTTGAATATGACATTGTTATATATTAACTTACAAATTTGTTGCAATGACTTTTTGTTTATCAATTTATCTATTAACTATTGACAGACAAAGAAATGAGATTTGACACTACAACAATTTCATAAGTTGATATATAACATTAAATATTAAAAAAATAAAGTATGAATTTATTATGTCTCTTGAAATTGAGGTGATAAGATGTAATTTGTTGTTTTTTATTTTTTTCTACTTCACGTCATCATTTAACAATAAATTGATAGAAAATTTATTAGAAATCCGACTTTGCAATGAACTGTAATTTGATGCAGCATTGCAATGTTGAAAAAATAAAATATGATTTAAGTGGTATAATGCCATTCATTCAAATAAATTATAGTTTTGAATATTAAATCATCGAACGACAACGTATTTGGGTCAACGTCGCTATCCAAGGAGATGGCGACATGTCAACACGGGTTTAATGGCTGTCACGGTATATTGTTCTTTTCCATATTTTGTGTTCTGTTCTAAAAATTCTCATCTAACGTTGTCTAGACCCGTTTAAACGTTAGATGGTTGGTCACCGTCCCGATTGATATTTAGGTGTTTAAAAATTAAGAAATGACACCTAATCCTACTGAGGCGCCTGCCTAGCCTGCCCATATCCGCTTAGGCATCTGTCTAGGTTGCAACTCATTTAGACAGAGAATAGATAAATTTCGTTATGTATTTCATTTTTTTAATAAATTGTAAAAGACTTGTTGCATACTTAAATGAACACACTTTATATCCTTGTTCCCTATGTTTTCATATGTTCCAATACTTCATAATACATATGTCATTCTATTTTGCAGTTTATGATGAAATTATATATATTTTAAGTATAAGCAGATACTTATTTACATATAATATAATAGGTTTACTTAAATTCGCTTAGTCTGCCTAGGCTCTAGGCTCCAGCCTGCCGTCCGACTAGTGCCTAGCGTATTTTAGAACCTTGATTTTGTGCAGTTATATTCTAGGTGATGGTGCATATTAGGAAGACTAAGAAGGATCCATTAGTACCCACAGTAAGTGGCCCAATGATAAAGGCGTGGATTGCAGCTTTCCAATAAACAAAAAATGTGGGAAGTTTTGGGTTTAATGCTCTAAATTGGTCAAATTGGTGAGTCGGCTTGACTTGGCCATGGGGTTGGTAAGATTTTTCATAGCCTTCCCAAGTCTAGAGGGGATAACTATGGCCACCAATTGTCTCTCTATTTTTGAAAGAAAAAAAAATGAGGGATCCACCTACTGCTTTTTTGGGTGTACATGTGAAGAATGGGGTGGATGGGTCTTTATGTCCTACCCAAATTTGTCTAGTTGTTGTTCAAATTCCAATTATGTGTAACTGATTTCTGGTTGGAATCTCTTTTTTAAAGTCATTGCTTCAAGGGTTCACACTCTCTCATGTTCCAGTAGTTTAGTTTACAGTAGAATACTACTTCCAATAAAAAAAAAAAAAAAATTATGTCTACTCTCGATTTGATCTTCAACTATAGACAAAAAAAGGTCGTACCCAGTGCACAAGGCTCCCGCTTTACGCATGGTCTGGGAGAGGTGAATGTCGGCTAACCTTACCCCCATTTATGGAGAGGCTGGATTCACATTCCACTTCGTGCAGTTTTAGTTTAAAATAAACCAATCTCTTGTAATAAAGGGGCAGTTGGAAAAGGGTGAAGCGGACTTGTCTGAACCGATGAGATAAGTTACAAGATATTTTAAACTAGTCTAATTGACGGGGAAGAGATTCAAACTTGGGTGCTAGGGCCCTGGCCTACATTTTTTAGTCCGAGATTCAAATTCTTGTGTTGCGACGACCTTATATTTCTCTGCATAACAGAATCATCGTATCTGTAATTCTTTGGTTACTTGGGCATATGAAATAACAATATCGCTTATGCTTCTCAAATGTTGCAGGATAACCCAATTTATACAAAAATGATCCGGCAACATGTAGATTTCGAAATGGTGCAAACCAGACTTGAAGGAGGTTGGTACTCGCATTGCAGCAGAATGTTATTCTTTCGAGATCTGTTGATTATTTGCAACAATGCCATAGTCTTCTTTGGGAAAATGTCTCCAGAATACAAGGCTGCGTGTGAGCTTCGGTCCCTTTTGTCAAAGGAAATGGCTCGTCTGGCTCCTAAACAAGATGCACCTCCCGAAGAAGAAATTCTGACACAACCAGCTCCACCTCTGAATCCCGATCCTGAAACTTCAGATTCGTTGCTAGCAAAATCAAAACTCTCACTTCCATTGAATGCTTGTCGCAAGCGCAGCTCCATTGCTGCAAGAGGATCCACATCTTCTTCGGGACCAGACACAAGAAAAGAGCAGGCCACTCGTGATGTCAAACCAGCTGTAAATTGGAAACAAAAGGAAGTGTCCTTGGATGAAATTGAGAAACTCCGTGTCACTAAGAAGAGAAGAAAAGAAAGACTTGGGAGCAGTACAAGAAACAACACGAGCAAAAATGTCAGGACCCGTAGTTATTCTAACAATGACAGAAGTTCAGATGCCAATGAGAATTCAGAGTCCAAATCTGAGACGGAAAAGAAGAGCAGAGTGGTATCTAGCAATGAGAATTCAGAAACCAAAGCAGAGATGGAAAAGAAGAGAAACAATAACGCAAGTGGGAAAAAGCAAAGTGCCACAAATTTCTTGAGTAGAATGAAGAGCTCCTCGTCCAAAACCGGATCATTGCTAGAGACATCAAAGAACCCTGAGAATAACAGCAAAGGGAGAAGAGCAGAGCAGAGGAAAAATGGAAATGGCAAAGGAAACACGCAGAAAGATCAAGGTTCGCGCAGAAGTTCTGGTGGGAGACAAGCGGCAAAAGAGCAAGAAAGCCCATCGAAAAGGAGTGTGGGACGGCCCTCAAAGAGGGCGGCAGCAGTGGCACCAACAACAGCTGGTCCAGCTAAACGAGCTAGAGGCCGAGGAAGCTGAAATGCACCTGCCATCAACCATATAAACTGGTCAAATTTTTAGATCCTTTTTGAAGCATCATCCTGGCAAACAAATCAGTTAAACAGCAAACGATATAGATCGAAATTGATATTTCTCAATGACATGTTGATAATCGAATGCATAAATTATGAGAATTGTTATCAGCACTCTAAGGAAGAATTTGCGGGCGAAGAAGTGGAGGATGGCCTTTTGGAGAGGTACAACAACGATGGCAATGACTTGCGCAGCTCCTTTGCACTTGTGGTAGGAGCTTACGTAGATAACTCTACTGAAAGGTCTAAATGTTCTACTGAAAGGTCTAAATGTGACGTTTTAGGTTTGAGAACCGTTCTCTTTTTTATGACAAGCAGTTTCAAATTTCAATGATGCAAGTGTAATGCAAAATTACTTCAAACATGTTCATGTGAGTTATTTATTCATTCTTACGTGTAATAAGTCATTTATTCTTTTTTACATGATGACATGCCATCATTTTATCGTACAATTGTTACGATTTGAATATTTCATTTTCTTTTATCATAATCATTGGTTTATCCGTCGCATATTAATGAATTATTATTATTTTTTTGAACAATTGATATTATCTACACTAAGGTGGTGTGAGAGTGAGTTAAGTCTGACAATAAGTTAGGAATAATGTGGTTCAAATTCTTCTTTGGTGAGAACCAAATCTAAGATCTCTTACTTACAAGTTAAGTGAAACAAGTGAAGTGAAATACCATTAGATCAGAGTACTATTGGCCCATGTTTTCCTTTATTTCTTAACAAAAAAAAATATATATATATATTAAAAAAAAAAGCCAGAGTCTAATGGAGGACCTCCTTCCCTTGAATTTCCTTTCCTCGAGGGGTACCCCTTTATTCCAGGTATTCTTCTCAAAATGTCACACGCAATGATGCAAATTCAACACAAAAATCCTTGTTGTGGATATCATTTCCTTCAAAACAAAGTCATCCTCTTTCTCTCTCTCTCCCTCTCTCTCTCTCTCTCTCGCTCTCTCTCTCTCTACCATCATTTGCCAGTTACAATCACACTCTTTTCATGACAGAGGAGGAGGAGGAGGAAATCCACATGATCTTCAACAACCAACCCAAATAATCCCAAAACCAGATAGCCAACTTTCTGCTCAAATGGGGCTTCAAAGCCGTCGCCTTTGATATCAGATACGCCGGTAGATTCGCAGCAATGCCTTCAGGCTTCACGGTGTAGTTGCTGACTCAAAGGGTCCCTTCCAATTCATCTGCAGAATCGGATTTCGTTTGCGTTGTTCTTCTGCAGGTGTGTTTTATTTATTTTTTCCTGTTAATATTTCTCTGCATTTGGGGTCCTGTTTTTCTTTGTCTTTGAGTTTGGTGGATGATCGGTTTGTTTACAAATTACAAGTGCAATTGTGGTGTGACAGATTCTCATAATTATTCAGTTTATGACTGCATTTGATGCTTTAGATGTCGAAATTATTGATCAAGTTTTGATTTTTAACTGGAGCTGCTTGAATTTTAGAGATGTTTATGATCTTGTTAAGGTTGAGATTAAGATGCTAATGAGGTAGATTATAGATTTTAATCATTTTCTGGTGATGGGTTTATCCTTATAAGCCCCTGAGTCCCGAAAGAACAAGATCTCATTTGCGCTACCTTATAGGATATGTAGTATGCTGATGTATGTTGATTTATTTCAAAGACATTTACACAATAAGGAATGAGACACTAGTAATCCGCAACGTTTGGTTGAGTTATGTTATTTGGGATTGTTTTCGTGGTAGAAGAATTTACACTAGGAAGATTGTTTCTGTTGTAGAGTGCATTCTGCTATCGATTTGGGATTGTTTTCGTGGTAGAAGAATTTACACTAGGAGGATTGTTTCTGTTGTAGAGTGCATTCTGCTATCGATTTGATTCATAGAAACTTCATGTGATTAGTGTAAGAACATGTCTATTCGTCCAACAGATCAGTTTTGGGAATATGTAGACGAAGACCAATCGTTGTGTTGATCGTTTTATTCTTTTGGTATGAAGTAAAAGATTCAAAAACATTGTGTGCACTGGACATTCTGTTGTTATACAGGACCCTTGATAGTTAGCTAAAACATTTTATTATAATCTGGTTGCACGTCGGAGACAAGTTTAGCTGCTTAATGCAGAACTGATTTGGTATTTCAATTTTCTGCTAGCTGCCTCTTTCAACTTATACCTTTGGAATCCAGTCTGCTGATGGTGTATGATTCTCTTTGGACATATGTATTTCACTGTCATTACACTTTAGAATACTTTGTTTACGTAAGTTATTCATGAAACCGTACTTGGTTCACCGGCATTTCTTCCACGGTATTAGGGCAATCTTTTCTTTTATAATTGGTTTAGTCGACTTATTGTCTCTGTTATCTGAATTTTCCTTTGCTTTTGTGAGTAGAAGGGCCATGTTTGTATATGGATGAACTAATATCGTTGTGGTCAACATGGCACAGGAACATCGTTCTTGCATCAAGATCCATTTACCGAGTATATGGAACTATGTTAAGCTTTGTAAGGGTATAGTTGCTACATTTGAATGTCGATGTAATCACTAAATATGTTGCGTTTTGTATTTTCTTTTGATGTTCGTTGATGAATGAAAAACCTCAGCCTGGATTTCGACAGTAATTAGAGCTCATCCTTTCCAAAACGATGAACTGAAATCCTTCATTCTTTGATATTCGTTTGTGTAGGGTGCTCTCATCTCCGGCTCTACCGGCACCCAGGACAGGATGGATGCACCAATTTCATGAGGGCAAGCCCCGGGCATCTGCCTGGTGTGGTAAAGTGCACTGATCGAATTCATACAGCTCGAATTACTGCAATTCAGTCCAACAATCGCTTCGTGTTCAGGTATTTATCAATTTAATCATCACCATTTTAAGGTAAACCAGATGGAATGTTTACTCTCAATGATCTGAGTTTAACCGCACTATGATATTTTTCCAGGAAAAGGAATTTGTTTGCTTTCTTGGCAGGATTTATGTAAGCGGTTTAAACGCGGCATGAGATCAACACTGTAAGCTATAAATCTCCAGCTTCATACAGGAGGGACTGAATCAGGACAAGTTCATAACATGAAATAAGACGATGAAATCAACAAAATTGTACATTTCTAGATGTCATCTGCTATAAGCAACTTTACATTTGAGCAACAATCTATCAGGTTCAGACTATTAACTGCTGAAACAAAGAGTCTCTTCTCAAACCGTATCTGGAACACTAAATCGAGATGTTTTTACAGATGGATGTGCCTAAAGTTACGCATGAAAAACCCTAAATTCGATCAAACAGAAAGCCTATGTAGTCGACATCATCACCGCATGTGTTCCTGCTGCCTTCAAAGCCGACCAGCCAAAGATCATCCCATTGTGGACTCAAAGTCTGTACCGTGATGCTTTCAACAACGCTACTTGTTCCCGTTGCTATCCATCCATTGACCGACTGTGCAGAAACGTGTGCTCTCCATCTGCTTTGAAGAAAAAATAGAAAGAAATAAGCAGAATTCAAACAGCTTAATCACAAATCATGGTCATAACGTTTGTTCATCTTCCCTTATTGCAAGTATGCATAAACAAATGTATTGGGGGGAGGTGGGGTGGGAACCGGCAGGACAGTATTTGGATCTGGTGTGATGCTCGTATAATTATTATCGAGTAATCCATCCATCTTGAGGGATCCATTTTATTTACGAGTCTTGATTAATATAACAAGGTCTCAGTCATTTTGTACACACTATTAATATAACTAAAAGATAAATATGGACTAACAAAGGCACAGGTATTTGCAAATACTGCTAATGAGAAAGAATTCCAACGTGCTGATAAAACTAACTTACATAACGAAAACTCTAGATGGTACAACAATTGGCTATTTAACTTATTTTGAGCTCAAAACAGGAGAAAAAGAAATGTAAAACCGAGTGATCAACGATAATTATGTACACATATATCTATTACCACTTTCACCATCCGATGCATATGCCAGCCTTTGAATGGCGTCAACAAGGGCCTGTTCGTGATCCTGCATGTGATACATATAAGCGGCAAATTGGAATGTTAACTCAGACTAGGAGGAACGGGATAGAAAGGGTGACGGATGCATATTAATCTTACTTTCAGCATTTTCCTTGCTTTTTCGAGCTCAAAGGGATCTGGCTCACTTGCATTGAAAACTCTCTCCACCTAGTAAAATTTTGAAAAAAAACAGAAACGAGAAGTGAAAATAACGAACATAATTTCAGATAGGGTAGGCTCAAGTTCATCATACATACCTCCTTTACCAGGGTGTCAGTATTTAATAATTCCAAATCATCTGACACCTTCCCTATACCATTTTGTGATGGAAGTTCTTTCTTTGATTGAGACTTTGTGGGTCCTCGCCTTCTTGTGGTCTGGCTAGTAGATTTCTTAGCCCGGCGTCCTGATGGGCCAGGATCTTCCCAACAGATATCCTCAGGAGAGATCTGTAATCAGTAACCAGTCAATGGAGTCCTCATCCCCTTTTTAAAATAAAACATAAAAGTCTTGATTTTGTGAGATAGAACTTGGTCGGTTACCAAAAACAAGATGGAAGAATATGATTAAAACCAGCAATGTGAAAAATGTATATACGTCAAGAATAAATGGTCAATAAAAGCCAGTGATTTTAATTATATTGGAGGGCTATAATTATATAGATTCTTTATGTAATCAAGGGCTAAGATGCTGGTATCTGCTTATTATTAATAAGGCTAGCAGAAGAAATAAAAGCTCTAAATCTGTATCTCTTATGCTTTTCCTTGTGGATCCTACTTTTTGGTTAATGATTTGGTTCAACAAATAGCTACAGGAATATTAGCACGTTAATGTCATAGTGGAATACATGCACACACCACATAGAACTTATAGACTTACCTCTTTGAGATCAACCCATTCCCACGTCTCATTTGGTGTATGTATGTCATAGACCAAAGCATGTCGACCCTGTAAACACGGGTTATTTGAATGTCAGCTAAAAGCGGCAAAACATGTCAAAACGGATGCATCTTTAACATTAAATTTATACCAGCGTCATGTACCATTGACAACCACTTTGGTTCAATTATTCAAAATACCTTGTAAGAATGTTGGATGTTATTTATTAGAAGAGGCAAAACAATCTTAAGAACTGACACTGACGAGGAGATTCAGACCAGAAGTCATCAACTTTTAATTAAAAAGAATGTCTATGCTATTCATTTTTAATTAAAGTCAACTGAACCTACAATATACAAACAAGCCTCCCTAGTGGTATTACACGGTACAGTGTTCACTTATGCAATCTAAGAGAATTTCTAGCTTCCATCCTATAAAATCTAGTAAGAGCACAACCCTATCCAAGATAAATTAAATAATAAAACAACAAACCGGAAGTCACCACTAATAATAACAATTAACTCAGCAAAATTTCATCTATGCTTCTTTCACTCTGACATGTGCACATTACCAGAAAACTTACATATTCAAAACAACTAATGTTGTTACAGGACTGAATCAGAAACACCTTACAGAGACTTCAAAACCTACCTCAGCCGGGTTGTAGTAAGTGATAACGGCTTCATAGAAGCTGTTGTCTTCCGGCCACCTTGTCCACACTTTCCTTCCAACTAATGAATCAGATGCTTCTGCAACAGCTGCTTCGACAAAGGGACCAGAAGAACTGCGGGTGAATTGCCTACTTCCAGCAGGTCCTGTTGAAGGGTATTTCATGGACTTCATTGAGGATAAACCAGGGAATGGCTGACCATGCTAAGAACAAACAAAACAAAGGTCAACTAACAGTTTTTCTTCACACGACCATACTGAGTACTTTTTAAATTTATAATTGCCTTTCCTCATGGCTCAAATGAGCTCCTTAATTACTTTTAAACACAAAGGCCGCCAAAGAAGTGCTAAATTAAAGACAGCAATGGGAGACAGAATGCTAGAGAAGTTACCGATTGTGATGTTTTTTGTTTCTTTCGGGATGCTGAAATAGTAGGACTAGGTAAAAGTTCATATGCATTCTGAGATGTAGTAAGCCTGGCAGCTTGATGACCACCTTTGTCTCTCCACACTCTGATACGTTCACCACCATGTGACAATTAAAAAGTATAATACTAAATTCCCAGCCAATTTATGAGTCACTCTGTTACATATTTTTCAACTTTCAAGAGACTTACCTTATCTTATCGATGATGTCCTCAGAATTAACCCTGGTCAGAAGCTCTCTGTGTTCATCATCTGATACTCTCAGTTCTTTCCTAAGTTCGGTAATCAAACCTTCCTTCTCCTGATATTCACACCCATGATAAATATTAAAGGCTGATTCACAAATAATATCAAGGATTCAAGATAACAAGCACACAGACATGCAACCATAAATACCCAAGTAATCGCATTTGACTGCGCTTTAAACGCCCGTAGGACCGCACAGTATGCTTCTTGCTCAAGGTGATGAATTTGTGCCTCCATGTCTGTATACATCCTAGAAAATGAGATAGAATCTACAGCAGATATTTTATTTCCTGAGACTTGACCCCCTTGAGGAATTCTGTTTTGATGAGATGGAGGAAGGTCATCATCATCAGTGCCTGCAGTTATTCCATATAAAGGTATACTTGATAGTACAAGAATTGTGTCACCCATAACTTTACCTCAGACGAAAGGATAACTATTACTGTTTAGACACAATTAACAGCACAGAGCATTTAGATGAAAGTTTGCACCATATGCATTTAGTGGTCTTCCAAAGCTATTGATTGCGAAGTATATTTACCCTGAATATAAGGAAAAAGAAAAATAGTGATAATTTAGAATCTGTATATTTATCAAATTAAGGATTACACATTTTGTTGAGAAAGTTAACAATTTGCCAAGTGACTACTTGGGTTGAATCTGTTATGAAGTACAAACTCGAGAAGAACAAAATTGTCCAAGGTTCACAAGAATTCACCCTTAGTTGGCAACAAGTGGTCTCATCCAATGCTATTAATACAAAATTACAGCAGAACTGCTGGGAACTTGTTTGGTACATAGTTCTCGTACATTTACTTATATGATAAAGGCAACAAACAATTGTTTTAAGTAATCCATAAACATAATAATATGCAGTATGGGAATTTAAATAACACTCGCATCGTTGATATCCATGCATCTTCCGTAAATATTCACACATACAAATTACGGTTTTTATTTTATCAATCTGTGAATCGTAAAATTCATTGAAACAAAATTCATGCCTTATCCAATCTTTAGTTTCTTCCACTCTATCCAGTATCCGTAATGATCATTATATTACCGCAAAAATGAAAAGAGCCGAAAATGCGAAATTAGAGAGTCACTTTAAGTTGGCAAGCCAAAGTAATTTGCAACCCCTTTACAAACAGAGCAGAAAATGTTTCAGAGCAATTTTTTCTTCTCTCTTTATTCACTATTAGCACAACAAGTAAGAAATCCAAACCCTTAGCATTTCAGGCATAGAGAGCAAAATAAACCTGTCAAATACCCTAATTCCATGCATTGCCAAAACCCAAATTCCCAATAACAAAACCCAGAGACGAACACCAAAAAATCACACAATTATAACCTCAATCCCCCTAATTCGAACAAAACCCAAGAACCCCCAAAACCCTAATTTGCAGAAAACCCACTCCGCAGGGATCGAACGAAACCCAATTATACAAATTAACCAAATTAAACACTAACCCACTACCCAAAATCCCTTAGGAACACGACCCAGATCCGAGAAAATGGTAAAGGTTCAAACTTTTCTCACCACTGCTTTCGGAGACATCATAGTCCATGTGCAAAAATGGGCAAGAATATAAGAACCCTAGAAAAAAAGAAAGAAAGCAAAGTGCAGGGGCTAACGTTTGTGAAGAATGTCCGAAAGTCACGAGCTTTGCCTTTCGTGGAGCCTTCTGGGACTTCGAAACCAAACCCCCAAGTCGTAGATCTTGAAAATTTGAAATCAAGAGAGCGAGAGGAGAGAGAGGGGGGGTCGAGGAGGGAAGCGAGTAGGGAGAGTTATATAAGCAGAAGAAAGAAAGAGAGCTTACAGTTTTTATTTCAAACTAGTGCTTTGTCGAGGAGAGTTTGTTGTTGTTAATGTTGTCTTTGCGGTTTTGAGTTGGTCGTATATATAGCAAAACGTTTGTGGGCTTTGTTTTGTATTTACCGACAACCCTTACTTTTCGTGGCGGAACTCAATTTTGTATTTTCCATTACCGCCTTCAGGCCCAAAAGTAGTTTTTGTGGATCTCTTCGGGTGGGAGATTGATCAGTACACCCATGAGTTCTTTTATAAGAACCATGGAAACTTTTTTTTTTTTGGTTTTTTATTCTATTATTTTTTTAAAGTATTTGATTTTCAAGTTTTGATGATTTGGATGCATGAGTTTTGAAACTGATCTTGAAAAAAATACTAAAATTTTGAAGCTGGTCTTGCAGAATTATAGAAACTTTGAAACTGATGTTGCAGAATTACTAGAATTTTGAAACTGATTTTGCAAAAATGCAGGAATTCTGAGGTTGATCTTGCACACGCACATAAAATTTTGAAATTGATCTAGCATAAGCATGGTCTAAAATATCCATAATATCCCGATATTTCCATCGAAATTTCCGTATTTTTGGACTACCGATATTTCCGATATCATCGATATTTTAGACCTTGCTAAGTCACTCATGTATCTTACCATGCAATGTATAAAGTGTAAAATATTGTACTAAT